AACAGTTGTAAAACTAGACAGGGTTGAGACAACTGGGAGACAAGCAGTCTTACGCCACCGTTGGAGAATACCAGCGTAAATTGGGGTTGAATGACGTTCGCTTTGGCCTCGTACCTGTCCAGTTAGAGCCCGGTGTTTTGGATTGGCTCGCAGCGACAAATCGTAGCCTTCCAGCCATCCAAGATCCTACTGACCCGAGCAAAGTCTACCTTGATGGGCCTTATGGGCCTTAAGGGCCTTAAGGGCCTTGATTGGTTGTGACATGTTGTGACCGCCTTGAAACTTCTCCAAGCGAGTTGCTTCGATTTGGGCTAGGAAAGGGCGGACTCGGAACTGTACAGACTCCTTTGAAGGCGACAGATTTGCCTTGTGTCCGGAATTTGATGAGTTTGTCCGCTTGTCCATTAAAACCCTACAAGTTTTCTGGCTCAATCAGTGTCATTTTTACACTTGGACCTTGAAAGATATATGATGATTGATGATTGATGATGTTTTTCCAGTTGATTCAGCAGCCTCCAACTTCACGTTCTTCAGGACCAGCTCGTTGACAGTCTGCGCCATTCGGAGCTCGTGCCTTTGATGGTGCTCCCTGCCGTGCCTGTGCTTGTTAGTTTCGCAGATGCTGATGTTCGATTTAGATGTTAACGTGATTTCATTCGATTTCTATTTTGTGTGTTAAACTATGAACACTATGTTTAGTCTTGTTATTATTATCATATGTATAATCATATGTTATCATTATTATCATTATTATCATTGTTAAAATCATGGTTATGTATTATCGTCAGCAATCTTCTTCAGACGCCTTTGCAAAGCTTTCGGTTGGCCTATGGCTCCTTCTCATTGCAAGATTTAATCAGCTCATTTTGGTTATCCGTGATGATCATGCAGCACACCATTGGCCGTCGTTTGAACTTACAACACAGAGACTGTTTTCGTCCCAATTCCGCAGGTCAGGTTGACAGGGTCCATTTTGCTTTGGCTCACAGCTTGATAGAAAAGAGAGGAGTCACAAACGAGGACACAAGTCAGCACCAATGGAAAGCGAAGCACGCAACAGGAGCACCCCCTGAGTCTCGAGATAAGCTGTCGTGCACTTTTGATATCATGAGCTTATAGACTCTTGAATGATCTTGAATGATTTTCCGAATTACCGCAACCTCAACACAACACACCGCGGACAACTTGCGCCTTTGCCAACATGGAATGATGTAATACTCACATCCATTACATGGCTCTCTCTCTCTCATATATATATATACACATCATATACAGATATAGATATTAGTATAACTTTTCTGTGTTGATATAATAGTTTGGTGAAACCTGAAACCTTCAGTGATTCAGGGCACTTCAAACTTGCACCACTGATGGGAACTGAGTCTCAGTCCGAAGGCCTTGTTCCCAGACCGTGTTCTGTTCCAATGGCGTTCCAACATCTCGGAACTTCGGCCAGCGGCGTTTGATGGTCTGTCAGTCTGTATCAATGGGGGTTTCTACACTTTTCTGTCGATAAAAAAAACGTCGCACGATTTGAGAACATGTCTAAGTAATCTGCGCTATATCTGCTGTCACTTGGGGTTTTCAGGTGATTCTGGCGACTCCCTTCAGCTGGAATTGAGGTGCCAGGGCCTGCAATGTTTCACCATGCTTTGCTGCTGGCGAAATCGATAGAAAGTAGCTATATTCAGTGGATTTTCCAAAAGCCCGGCTGCATCTTTTGACGTTCTGGCGCCAGGGACCAGCAGTTGACAACTAGGCAGGATCACAATGTAGGTGCTTCATGGTGCTTGAAAGAATTCTAAAGGGAAGTTCAACTGGATATGGTGATGTTTGCTCTTCAGCCAACAAGAGAGATATCAATGTAATAAGACTTAATAAGTGCCAACACTTGGAGGACATCAACGTGATACAAACAGGTAATGGGCCCACTAGATTGAGCAAGTGTATATATATATAATATTTATATTTCTGTACTGAGTGGAAGAAAGCAACATGTACGTCTCAAGGCAGAATCTCAGAAAACACCTCGACTTGCATCAAAACTTGCTATCTCAGCTCGGCTGTCCTTGAAGCAACCAGCCCTTGACGTTTCGCTTATGGCCTCTGGGCTTGATCCATTGAACATCCAGTGGCTTCCCATCCAGTGCCCACGGTGCCCACGGTGCCCATCGTGTTGATTGTTAGGCAATACGGCGGCTTCTTCCCATGGGTGGGTGCCAGCTATCGGTTGCAAGTCCATCATGGTGCGAAGCCTTTGCAATGGCTGCCGGGAACACCCAGCTGCGGAGTCGTTTTTGGCGATTCGAAACTCCACGAACATCACCAACGCCGATGCTCAAATTGCACCGAGGAATAGGCTCACGCAGAGGTTCCTGTGGGGCGGTTGAGAGGGGCCCTCTTTCCACCTGAGTCATGACCATTGTTCAGCCTGGTTCAGCTATTGCTGTGGGCAATGTGATGTTGATCGTAGGGGCAGAATCACAACAGCTCCCAACCAGTTTACTTGACACCTCTTAGGCGATCCAGGTCTCAGACTTTCCTGTCCCAGTACGTCGATCCTTGAGCACCAACTTCTCCAAGCATAACTTTTGATTGTAGTGGATTCTTGTGTGCCCGTGACTGGCTCAGGTGTTTCACTCAGGCAAGATAAACTATGACTAATCTCATCCCATTGAAAAGCCCTTAGCAGACACGAAAGCAGAAGACAGATCTTGATGTTTTTTTTCCAATTACTTTCCTTGCCTTGGCCAAATGGTCAATCTTTATCATTATTTTGGGCGGAGCTTGGTCGTTTTTTTGTGGTCGTGTGTTGCTATTTGCTCATGCCGCGCTCATGGCACCCCGAAAGCCCGAGCTCAAGCCGCAGCTCATCAAGGAGGCGAAGCACTGCAACCGTTTTTTTTGCTATTCAGATCTATCCAGACTATTCAGATGTATTCAAACATATGTTGCTGATCACAATGCACCTCCGGTAACAGCAACAGTTGCTGGTAACATCTGGTAAGATCTGGTAAGATCTGGTAAGATCTGGTAAGATCTGGTACCCTTTATTTAGATCCCTTTAGCAGTGTTATCTCAATACGATGTTTACGACGCAGGCCAGAGATGCTGGATTTCTGACGCTGCCTGAAGCGCCCCTGGCTGCTGATGAGGCGCCAAAGGTGCTGTGTTTAATTTTTTGTTTTACTATGTTTAGAATTATATATTGATATATTTAGCATTAGCATGCATTTGCTTTGATAGCGGATTGAACACAATTGAAGTATAATGGAATGTGATAGAAACATATAGAAACTATAGTCACAGAATGATACAGACATTCTGAGACCTCGCCTTTCCTGGTGCAGGCCTTGTCAAAACACTACTTGGATTTCCGCGAAGAGACTGCAGCCAAGCAAAGCTGCTGGTCACGGCCGCAGGAGCTCCATGGAAGGTAGCTATATCAAGTTATATCATACAATAATAGACATATATATATATACATATGTATAATTATGTATATACATAGTATCATACAGTGTTAAAGATCATGGATTGCCTCATGCAATCTAGATCTCAACAGTTTTCCATAGCCTTCCCAGTTTCCCAAAACAGCTAAAGCACGGGCGCAGCACATGACTTTCACATTTCAGGATGCGAACTCTGCACCAAGCAATGAGCTGATCCAGAAGACCTTGCAGCCCTGTGTCTGGGCATTCCAAAGCTCGAGTTCTGCAGGTTTCCCACACGTTTCCCACACGTTTCCCACACGTTTCCCACGTTTCCCACACGTTTCCCACACGTTTCCCACACGTTTCCCACACGTTTCCCACACGTTTCGTGTCGGGAATCGTGAGGTGAACGGCTTCCTCGACCTTTGCCACCTGGCCTGGGAGGATCTCGGCTACGGAGGTGGAAGCTGGAAGCGATGTTAAACTGCAGTCAACTTTGGGCTGAAATGATGCCACCAGGTCTTTGCAGGCTTTTGCTCGGCCACGGCGAAGGACGCCAATGGCCGCCATTGCTCTGAAAAATGTGAACATCCCTTGAAAGGGACCACACACACATTTGTTGTTTCTCAGGTTGAAGTGGACGGCCCTTGAAGGTTGTGCAAGGTAAGCAAATTCCAATCCAGACATATCCAGACAATGACTATGTATATATATATTATATTATATATAATATAATATATATATATATAATATATAATATAATATATATATATAATATAATATATATATAATATAATATATATATATATGTGCATACATATCTATAGTGCAACAAATTATGCCAGAATCTGGATCAGCAGGCTTGCATTTGATTGGGACTCCATTACGTGCAATATGTTCAATATACTTGAATCCCACGCCAGTACAGCCCTTTTTAAATACTCACTAGCGCTTCGTCAAAGTCAGCATTCACCTCTGTGGTTGACATACACAGGAGAACCGAAAGTTCCGTGATCCAACACATCTTAGATGAGGACGACAGTGACCTTGCTGCCATTCATGCAGCTTCGAACAACTTCCAATATAAAAAGTACTTGCTGTTCGTGGAAAATATATGTTGGTATCATGTGCCTGTCTGCCAGAGATACATTCATATGGACACATATGTATGACACGTACATGACATACATGACATACATGACATACATGACATACATGTCATGGGTTTTGAAGAATTTTGAAGGGCTCCCCATAGCATGGCAGCCTCAATGGCAGCCTCATCTGCCTCCATTCGGACCTGAGGTGATCTCTTTGACGATGAGAGCGACGAGTCCGACGTGGAGGCGGCCCTGAAGGCTTCGGACGGATGAACCCGGCGGCGATAGAATCCCGGAAGGTGTTGAATATGGAATACTGTATATAGGTATATATATATATTATTATATTCGAAGGAAGTTTAGAAGCTAAACTTCCGACAATATGGACAGTTGAAACGCAGAGCAGGGAAGAGGCAGAGAGAAGAGAAAGATTAGAAGAAAGAAGAGGTAGATGCGCGAAAAGATAGGAAAGTCGCGATTCACTGTGTTTTTCCAATGATTTGTGGCTCCGGAGGGTCGAAAAGTAGGCTCGCTAAAGCGGCGGGTGCGGAGCCAGCTGGCCAGATGAGAGATGAAAAATTGCACGCCGTTGTGGCGCGAAGCACATTTCCAAGTCAAAATGGACAAAACACTAGAGGAGCGGACCACTTTTGGACGTTGCGATGTTGAAAAAGTGCACGCCGTTGTGGCGCGAAGCACATTTGGAAGTCAAAATGTACAAAACACACCAATGTCGGACCACTTTTGGAAGTTGAGATGTCGAAAAAGTGCACGCCGTTGTGGCAAGAAGCACATTTCGAAGTGAAAGTGTACAAAGCACACCATGGTCGGAGCACTTTTGGAAGTTGAGATGTCGAAAAAGTGCACGCCGCTGTGGCGCGAAGCACATTTCGAAGTCAAAATGTTAAAAACACTAGGGGTTCGGACCACTTTTGGAGGCTGAGAGGTCGAGTTTCGAAAAAGTGCACGCCGTTGTGGCGCGAAGCACATTTCGAAGTCAAAATGTGCAAAACACCAGGGGTTCGGACCACTTTTGGAGGCTGAGATGTGGAGTTTCGAAAAAGCGCACGCCGTTGTGGCGCGAAGCATATTTGGAAGTTAAAATGTCAAAAACAGTAGGGTTTCGGACCACTTTTGGCGGTGCAGAGGTTGCTTCGCTTCAACTGCACCTACAACTGCAAGTACACAACGACACTACACGACATGTACAACTACACCAAAGATAGACAGGTAGACAGCTAGACAGATAGATAGATAGATAGATAGATAGGTACATAGATAGATAGATAGATAGACAGATAGATAGATAGATAGGTAGATAGATAGATAGATAGACCGATAGATAGTTAGATAGATAGATAGTGAGAAAGAAAGGTAGATAGATAGATCGATAGATAGATAGATAGGTAGGTAGATAGATAGATAGGTAGATGGACAGATAGATAGATAGTTAGAAAGATAGATAGTGAGAAAGATAGGTCGATACATAGAAGATAGGTTGGTAGGCGGGTAGATAGTCAGAGAAAGAGAGAGAAAGAGTGAGATAGATCAAGCACCTTTCAGTCCATCAGTGGCTTCGCTCTGCCATCCCTGATTCACAACAACCAATCTCTCCTATAGGTTTCCTATTTTTGAAACTTCCGCCACCGCCTTGTGCGGTACTACTGGTATATTATATTGACGAACAAGTTCAGGGGCCTTTTCACACAGTTGGGATAAACAATATCCCATAACATACTTTGGCTCAAGCATGCTGAAGCATGCGTAAAAGTGGCTGGACCGCGGCAACTTGTGGTCATCAGCCGTAGGCTCATCCCGCTCTTTCTTTTCTCGCCATTGCGCCTGCGCCGGTGTTTTTCCTCGCGTTGGTTCCTCCTTCTCTTTTCGCCTTTGCCTCGCCGCGCTGTGATTGCTGCTGCTGCTCTTTTGGCGAAACTTACTCAGCAAGGGGTGTATGGCCACACGGGGGGAACGGGGGGGGAAAAAGACAAGGAAGTCCAAAGAATTGGCTAGGCAAACATTGGCTGGGAAACACGTCCCTTCAACGGCCCCTTCTTCAAAAACTGGGTTGGGTAGGGTAGCTGAGGTGGAGCGTAGATTCATTCAGGATAGCATTGAGGGTGCTGCTTCATCATCATCACGTCCTAGTCCCGCAGTTGCTGAAGAAATCAGGGCAGGCCCTAGTGAATCAGAATTTGAGTCGGCTAGTTTAGGGTTTGTGGAAGTAGCGGTTGTTGCTGAGCAAGAATCTTCGGTGTCACCCACAAAGGTTTCTTCCGCTGTTGTTGTTCCAGTTGTTGTCCCAGAGCCAGGGTTTCAACCCAAAACGCCACCAAAAGATCCACCCCCAAAAGCCAAGTCAGCCACCGTGATCCAGGAAGAACCCCAAAGAGTTGTGCTTCGGCCCGCTAAGGTTGCGTCGTCCACTTTGGTTGTACCAAGCGTGGGTTAGTGTAGATTTCAACGGTTGCGCTAACGTTGCGAAGGCAGGAGACGTGGAGGTTCCAGAAATCCACCCCTATAACCAAGCTGCTTTGAGGGATTTTTAAAGTGCTACTGTTGATCACGGTGTCAGGGTGGGGATCACATCCTATATTGGTGTTGGTGGACCGAGGAGTCAAGAACGTAGGGCTTCGTTGACAAAAACAGTAAGGGAATTCAACGCTTCTGCCATTGACCCACGGTGCAAGATTGGGGTTAGGATCGTGAAGCAGGGGCTTGTATTCACGTAGACGACCGTCTTGACACATTGGACGGAGTTTGGCAAGAAGCACCAAACATTACAACATTTTGGTGTACTAATCGCCCACACAATCGAAACCACCAGGTTGTCCGCTCGTTAGCACAGGCGTTGGATACCATCCGCTCGCAAAGGATTCCTGCCACCCTGCACCAACGCCCCTTCGAAAGCTTTTGGGTGGTGCCTTGAAAACAAAAGCCGATTCTTGGAAACTCAGCGTCAATAGTGGATGGGAACTACTATTCGCCTCGCGCTGGCCGCAGGGAAGGGTTCAAGGGAGTAATTGTAATAGATGGCTGAATCATCTAGCACAAGCTTCAATTTGACCAGTGGTTCCTCGGGAGTGCCTGGTGTGACTGCAGTTGGGAATTCACGGGAATCCAGTAGTGGGGTATCTAGTGACTCTAGGAGATATAGGCCCAGGGATTCTAGTTCACCATACCCCCAAAGACCCACAAGAGCGTATAATAAGAGAGAGCAAGAGCAATTTGAGATGATGCAAAACTCACCAAGTGGAACATCAAGTCCACCACCGTTAGTGGACATGTCAGAGATTCCTACTGTTGAACCCATGGACACCCAAATTGGTAATCCCAGCTTGAATTCACAATCGTTTGACGATCATAGGTCGGTAAATGTTGATCAAAGATCAATTCATTTAGAACAACACGTTCACAACCCCGACCCCGCCGTTGTTGGCCAAATGGCCGCCGCAGTGGCAAGTTCGGAGCTTAGGGTGGAAGCGACTCAAGCGGTTGCGCAAGCAAGGGAGGCGGCTATGCAAGCTGCTACCGATGTCAGGGTCGAAGCTGCTCAAGCAGTAGCTAGTGCAAGGATCGAGACGACGACTGCGCAAGCTTCTGCAGAAGCAACTCGGGTGAGTGCCTTGGCAGAGATCCAACACCTCCGAAACCAATTGGAGGCCTCCTGAAGGGAGAATCACATCTTGAGGGCTCAGTTTGAGTCTTCGACCAAGGTTGCCAGCAATGAGCTTAGAAATGCTACGGGGCTAGGCCAGATTGAGTTGAGGCTTCAAGGTATTGAGGAACAGCTAGGAAGGCTTGAGTACAAAATGGACCTCCACCAGGAGTATATCCAGGAACTTTGGATGAACCAACCCCCTGTTCCGCCAGTCCAAGGTGTTGAACCTCAGACTCCGATCGTTCGGCTTAACGCACAAGACCCAGAAGAGTTGGATTTGTTTGGGGATCAAAGGCGTCCGGCCGCCCAAGAACCCATGGATATTGAAAGTCAATGTCTAAGAACTAAGGATCTTCACCATCTGAAGCTCCCACAACTCCCTGAGTCTGCTAGCGCATACCGAACATGGCGCAATTCAGTACGCACTGCCGTATTGTCATTTGACCAGAGCTCCGAAGGGAAGCTCACTCCATGGTTGCAAGAAGCGTTTAACGCTAGGGGCAACGACGCGGTCCAACTTCGAAACTCTTCAGGGGATTTCCCCAGATTCGATAGGATCATTGCGTCCCTGTTGTGTAAGCAGGAAGTGTTGAAAACATCGTTTGGGCTTCGGGTACAAAGTTATGTTGAAGAATGTGAAGCTCAAGGGTCCCAAATTAGAGGCAGATACATTCTCAATCTGGTTTCCAAGGAGTTTGACACTTCAGCTGAAGCTGGAGCCATTACAAGTTCCCTGGAGCTTTTCCAGCTGCCTGCGCCACAGGATTCACCAGCGGCTCTCAAACATTGGCATGACAAGGTGGTCTACATTTTGAGTCAGCTTCCTGTTGCTCAGCGACCAGGAGAAGATTTGATGAGTCAATGGATCCATCCCTTTGTTGCGTAGGACAATGGATAGATACATGGACGCACCATTGAACTCTTATCACCGATCATTTGATGCCATGTGGCGTGGTGTTGAAACTGCACTTTTGGAAGCTCAACATGATGCAAATGCACAATCCATCAAAGATGATTTGAAAAAGGGCCCCTCTCTTCCCAAGAAGGCCTTGACTGCCCCAACCAAGGAACAGACCAAAGGAAAGGGCGGAAAGGATTCCAAATCTCCGGGAGGTAAGGGTCCCACTCATGTTCACGGTAAAGGCGATTCGCCTAAGCCCAAGAAAGACAACAAATCCAAGCACGACACATCCTCCAAGGATAAGGGCAGTGGTTCCAAAGGTTCCGGTAATCAGGTTAAATCCCTGACACCTGAGGAGAAGGCGGCTTCCCCATGCATTTACCACCTCAGGGGCAGATGTATGCGAGGAGACCAATGTCCATACTCCCATGCTGCCAATCCCAAAGCTAAGGCAAATCCACAGGGGACTTCCCCTCATGCTCCTGCAGGTGCTAAGGTCACAGCAGCTGTGGCAATTATGGCGTCTGTGTCGCAGGCTGCAGCGACTCTGCCTTCATCCACACAGGTTTGCCTCGACTACGTAGGGGACACGGGGGCCGGCGAATGTTTGGGTTCCGTGGAGGCATTCCGAAGGCAAGGTTTTGATATCCCTGACGAGCTGATCACATCCACCAACCATCCAGTTCAGTTTCTGACGGGGGGAGGATCTAAGGCCGGAACCTCCACCATAGGGTTTTGGTCCCAAGAATTTGAGCGAATGAGTAATGTCTATCTACTCCCGCAATGTCCCTTGGCGTTGTCAATTGGTCAGTTGTGCCAGGAGGGTTATACGTTCTTGTGGTCGGGTCAGTCCCTTCCAATGTTGATTCCTCCAAGCACTCAATTTGACTATATGGTTGATGGGCCAGTGCTTTCGGCAGATCGTGTTGAACATAATGTACCAATTTTTCGCTTGTCCATTGAATGCACTTATGGCATGCCGGCCTCAGCTTCCTCGAGTGCTGCCGGTCCACCTCCCGATGTTCCAGTAGGGGGGGGGAGAATCAGGCGTCATTGTCGTTGACCCAGTGGCACCCATCAAACCGGAACCCACTGATGGCCCTGCGCCTGCCGCGGGTGTCAGAGGGGAAAGGGGAGATGACCCACTGGAAATCAGGGAAGAAGACGCGGACAAAGAAATTGATGGGATACCTCCAAACCACCTCATGACCCACTTACCCAAATCAAGGACTTGTGACACGTGTAAGAAGGCCAAGTTGTATGAAGCTCCCCATCGCAGGCATGAACACATGAATGCGAGACTGCGGGAAGCGAGACGAATTGAGGCACCAACATCCTACCTCGAAAAGATTTCGGTCGACCACATCGTTACGCGAGACGAGGTTGGTCACAAAGGCGAAGGTTACACCATAGTCATTGTTGATCAATTCACTGGTCTGACCTCCATGGTTCCAGTTAAGACCAAGCATTCGGATGAGGTTGAAATGGCATTAAGAAGGTTTGTAGGTAAGAAGAGACCAGGGGTAGTTCAGGTAGCTAGCGACAGGGCTCCAGAGATTCGAAAGGCCGTGAGGGACCTTGGGTTTGCTAGTGAGCCGAAAGATTCACAACCCATTGGCTGAATCTATGGTCCGCACCATTAAGGGTATGACAGCATCCATTTTGTTGCATTCCGGGTTGGACCTGCAGTATTGGCCCTTGGCGCAAACATATTTGGAATGGGCGTACAACATCACCACAACTGCTTCTGGGGTGGACGATGAAGATGAATGGAAACCCACCAAATACGAAAAGGCTATGGGGTATGTGGTTGATTCCTTCTTGATTCCATTTGGGGCACTTGTGTGGTACCATGATCCCAATCCATTGGCCTATGGCCCTAAAGGGGCTGCAGCATTGTTCTTGGGGGCCGAACTGATTGATGGCTTCTTGTTCAAGGGCAACTGCAGAGTTTGGCCGCTGGACAATTTCAAGGAGGGAGTGCTCAAGGAGTTCGTCACTCGCTCTTTGGCCATACCGGGGGGTCCATGGAAGTTCCCAGCAATGTCCCAAGAAGAAACCGTTTCAGCATTGGAATTACCAGTCCCAGAGGATGAGCCATATGAAGCGTCTATTGCTAGGACTGAAGATTTGCAGGATGGATCTGACCCACTGTTGGAGTTGTTTGAAGAGGATGAACCCACTAGCCCTGTGCCTGGCACGGGTGGTGGGGGAGTTGGAGGGATTCCGTATGAACCCAAAACCACGGGATCCACCACGAAATCCAAGAGGCATAGATCCATCACTGACTTGAGAATTGCGGTCCATGGCAAGACGCCAGGGTGTGGAGGGTGTTCGGAAGGTACATACTCTCATACCCCTGAATGTAGAAAACGGTTCAATGACATCCTGGATTCCCAAGAGCCTTCAAGGACCCGTAAGAAAATGGAAGGGGATAAGGATTTCATGGCTTTAACTTCACCAATCACTGGTCAGGAACTTCGTGAACAGACCCTCGAACAAGGGACGGATGCTGTTGCGGCCATTTACCTCCAAGCCATTGAAGAAGGGCACGGGGATGAAAAATTACTGGCAGAAAAGCTAGGGATGGTCATGCAAGAAGCTTCCAGACCCAAACGAGTCAAGACTCAAAACAAAAGAAAATGGTTCGTGGAGTATTGTTGTTCAGAGAACAGTGCTTGTTGTAGGGTAGCCGACGCTTGTTCCATTCCTTACCTAGGGCGGTCCAGGGATTTTGGGGACCTCACTGACCCACAAGTGTTTGATCAAGTATTGTACTGGTTCAATGAAACTTCAGAAAAGGGTGAGCCCATTGATTTGTGGGGATCAATTCCATGTGCACCTTGCTGTCCACCTCAGCACTTGAGCAGGGCTCGGCCAGGGGAGGCGCAGGACCAGAAACTCCAGGAGAAACGACAGACCATTGAGGCGCTGTTAGACAACTATGCACTCTTGGCGGATGTGGCTGTAGCTTCGGGGGGTTCGGCGTCATTCGAATGGCCGCTAGGGTGTGAGGGTTGGGAAGATGACAGGCTCACAAATCTGATCTCACGTCTCAACATGTACGCTGCTTACCCCACGGGGTGTGGTATGGGGCTTGAAATAGATGGGAAATTTCCACTGAAGGAATGGAGGGTTGTTACAACTGACAAGAGACTGGCGGTTTTGGATAGGTTTGGATGTAGGGGCACCCACCTGGCCATAGGCATGATCCTGTTGAAGGAGATCGAAGGTCAGGGATGTACAACACAAAGATGGCTGTAGCGATCCTTTCTGGCTTGAACCCCCATGTTGCTTTCCACCACGTACCCAAACTTCCGACCGTCCACGGGGCAATAGCCCATGAACAAAAAGGTATCCTCATGGCCCAACTCGTCTTTGGCATGATTCACACTCCGTTGTCAAGAACTGAATTATTGAATCACCCTCAAGGGAAAGCTAAAATAAAGGAGGAGGCGGATGCCATGAGAGCCTTAGGAGTTTGGGGGGAAGGTTTGGGTGAACTTTTCGAGCTAGAAGACTTGAAACGGATCTCCCGAGAGAAGGGAGAGACCGTGCACGTGGCGGAGCTCATGCCCATAGGGAGCATCAAACACGCCGAGTCAGCTGAACGGGCCAAGCTGAAAGTCCGATCAGTATTTCGAGGTGACGAAACAAGGGATCAAAATGGGGACTTAGCCTTGTTCAGGGACCTCAAATCATTGCCAGCCACTGTTTCCACGATAAACCTAGTACTCTACTATGGTTTAAGAAAAGGAAATTGCCTCAGAATAGCTGACGCTCAGAGGGCATATTTACAGGCTCCTATCGGTTCCCCTGTCCCGACTTACGTGATTTTGCCCAAAGAAATGTGGCATGGTCATTGGTTTGGGAGGTACCGGAGGGTTGCAGCACGCCTGTACAAGGCAATATACGGTCACCCGACCAGTGGTGATGACTGGTCCTGCTACTTCGATGGCACTTTGGTCAGGAAACTCCAAGGAGAAAGAGTCGAAGGGGTACCATCCTTGTGGTGGTTCCCTTCATTGGAACTCTTGGTCGCAGGGTACGTCGACGACATCGTGGCAAGCGGCCCAGAAGCGTCCATGGGAATTTTCTGGGAAGAACTCGGTAAGATGATTACAATTGATGGAGTGTCGGAACCCGGACGATATCTTGGCAGGGACCATCTGATTTATGAATTTCCAAAAGGTAAAGAGGTTTTCCTTTTCATGAAAGATTATGCCATCACCGCTTATAAGCTGTATGAGGACCAATTCAACTGTTCCCTCAAAATGTATGATACCCCTTTCGTCACTGAATCGGTATTGACTCCTGAAGGGTATAATGAACCTGGACAGCTCGCGGGCAAAGCTGCACAATTATTGATGAAGATGTTATGGTTGTCCAGATTGTCAAGGCCTGACATTGCGTTCGCCATTTCTTCGTTAGCCAGTAACATATCTAAGTGGACCAGGAACCATGACTTGATGCTTTACAGACTTTTGGGCTACGTCAAGGCGACAATTGATTTTGGGGTACATGGAACTGTCATTGCAAATGAGGAAGTACCAAGGCTGCATCTGTTCGCAGACGCGGACCTCGCAGGTGACGTAATGACCATGAAATCCCACAGTGGACATTTTATTGTGGCAATGGACGACGGCGGTACGTTCTTCCCCCTGTTTTGGTCTTCAAAACGCCAGTCATGTGTTTCAAGAAGCACCACTGAGGCAGAAATAGTATCAGCATCCACCTTGGTCTTCGAAGAAGGGTTGCCCATGAATACTGTACTCCAAATGGTTTTGAAGGAAACTGTCCAAACTGTCCTGCAAGAGGACAACCAGGCGGTTCTGGTCATCCTACGAACCGGGTACAGTCAAAAGCTCAGGGCCCTCAACCGGACCCATAAAATCAGTGTAGCAGCCTTAAGCGACGCCATCCAGGCCAGAGATATCACGCCCACTAGCACGCCCTCTGAGGATCAACTTGCAGACATCTTTACTAAGGCAATGGTCAGGCCATCGTTTTTGGCAATGAGGACAAGAATCGGCGTGGACCTTCCACCGAAAATTTCCTCTAAGCCTAAGTAAATCCAAAGGGTCAGCCCAGCGCTTGTCGCGGGTGACTTAGGAACGAAGCTGCTGACTGCGGCGCTTTGTGGCTTTTGGCCGATGAGAACGTGTCGCGGTGGCGGCTGCTGGTGAGCCTGTACCATATTAATTAAAACTTCCTTTTTCTTACATCCTTTTAGCGCCCAGTCTGAACCTACCACAGGAAAAACGGTGAAGTTAGCATATTGTGGCGACTCGCGCATCCCTGGCCGGGGGGGATGCATGAGGCGCAAATGTGTCTAATGCTAAACGCTCCGTAACCTGTGGGGGGGGACGAACAAGTTCAGGGGCCTTTTCACACAGTTGGGATAAACAATATCCCATAACATACTTTGGCTCAAGCATGCTGAAGCATGCGTAAAAGTGGCTGGACCGCGGCAACTTGTTATTATATTATATTATACTATATTATATTATATTATACTATATTATATTATATTATATTATATTTTGTTATATTATATTATATTATATTATATTTTATTATATTCTATTATATTACATTATCTTTTATTATATTATATTATACTATATTATATTTTTTTTTTCGGAGGGGTAGGTATACCACCAACCAGCCAGTACTCACTTCGTTCAGTAGTAAAGATCATTTCTCCTTGATTACCATTGGTTGGTGTCTTCAAATATCTCCAGTTTTCCTACCTCAAAATGGGGTCAGGATACCCAATAATTCACTGTGATATTTCTCAGGAGAGCCGTGGCTCAGCCACCAATCAGCGTACCAGCTGATGCTTGCTCATGTGGTAAACATCATGATAGAATATGACAAACCCTTTATCACTATATACATGTATATGTATATATTATATTTATTATATTGTATTATATTATATTATATTATATTTTATTATATTATATTATATATTATAATATATTTTATTATATTATATCATATTATATTATATTATATTATATTATATTTTGTTATATATTATATTATATTATATTAAATTATATTATATTATATTATATTTTGTTATATATTATATTATATTATATTAAATTATATTATATTATTTTATATTATACTATATTATACTATATTTTATTATATTATATTATATTATATGATATTATATTATATTACATTATCTTTTATTATATTATATTATATTATATTATATTATATTTATCTTTTTTTAATATTATATTATATGGAACATATATGGAACATATATGGAAAATTAATGGTCGTTTCTGCTGTTTCTGTCATTTTGTTCACGTGTGATTCATATTCTTTCTGAATTACCATTGGAAATTCACTTTTTTTTGGATGCCACACCAATGGCAGTGGCTCCTCGGCACAGGCCTCGTCTGGTGAGACGGTCGAGGATCCCTACACTGAGATGATGACCGCGGTTGCGGGGGCACCATGGGGCACCTGGACCTGGTCGTCTCAGTCTGCTGACATTTCGTTTCAGCGCTCATCAGCATTCTGGAATGCTGAAACCGCAAGACATCATCGTCTCCCATTGTTTTTGTTTCCCCAACAGAAGAACCTTCTCCAAATTTCTCCGACGTGATCTCTTCATGGTGTCTTTGGTCATTTTTGCTCATCTTTGGCTGGCGCCGGTCATGCTGCCGTGGGCTCCAGAGAACAGGTGCACGGTCCGTTTTCCCATTTTGCGAGCCATGGAAGTCTTGGTCGAGGCAGCCAGCGAAGTTCCTCAAGGATGCTTCGTAACTGGGATCCGAAAAGGTCATGGACTCCATGGACATGTCACGTCAACTTCACAGCTTCAACTTTGGGAACAGTCCAGTGAAAGTCAATCCTTAATAATCCTTAATATCCTTATCATTCATATAGATTCATATATCATTTATAAATTATTCATTGTCGTTCTTGATAGGTTTGATTCGGTTTGTTTTTGAATGTCTTATTGGAATGAGTGGGCTTCTCTTCGTGACTCTGGAACAATAAATGAAGCTTTTGGATGACCTCATGCTCCGATCCAGTCATTCAGGTGCTTGGAATGTGCCTGTATCAAGCCGTCAACGTTTTCCTCATGTCCCAATTTGCCCGCCTTTCACTGACTTGAGGTGAGCGTGCGCCTTGGAGACAGTCTGAAACAGCGTCGCTTTGACACTTGGCGGAGATGGTGTGTGAATTCTTGTGATCCATATCTCAATAATTCTCAACATATCTTATTCTTATATTACCTCATCATATGTGTCATATGAGCAGGAAGTGTTTGGACATGGGGACATAAAGAGACCTTGATGCTTTGGTCCATCTTCCACTGCGAGGACAAGAACAGTGCCAAGTACTACTTCCCAACACCGGAGGAGAAACGCAAAGCCCGCATTGATGTCACCCGCTTGCAGATCTTGCAGATAGTAGCATGGATGTGACTGGAATGTTCAGCCAATATGCAGCTACCTGTGCACCACAGAACGAGCTCAGACAGTACCGTTCCGGTCTCTTGCAATGTGTAGACTTTGTAGATAGAGTATGCCCTTTTGTGTGGCATGGTTGTTCGAAGCTAATTGCGTTGCACCGGCCCTCGTTTCACAGAAACTCCATAGATCTAAGAAGTCTTTGAAAAGTCCCTGAAGATCTGAGAAAAAGCGTAGAATGCATAGAGCAGCAAGAGTGGTGACAGCTTGGGACAGCCAGTTGCTGCTCTGAGGTCTACCAGTTAGTCGGCACTTGCTCCGTCCCCATCGACCCGACCGCAGTTTCTGACAGCAACGACGTGAGTGTTATTTCATCAGATCCCAAGTCGGCCGGAATGAAGTGACTTGGCTGGAGATGGCGACAGAAAGGTGTGGATAGATGTGGATAGTTAGATTATATTAGATTCTGGTCATTTTCTTAATCTGGTGATTGGTTCCTCTGCATCTTAGGCAGGTTGAGTCCTTCAATTCCCTTCGACACAGAAGTCAGTTGAAGTCAGTTGAAGTCAGTTGGAGGGGGCGAAACACCGCGGTCACCGGCGGTCGGCGGTAGGCTGAAAGTGAGCACCACCAACAAAGACGTCAAGCCTGCAGAGGTGGTGCTGACCTTGGAGATGTCGACAGATCCATCGAACATAGGAGACATATGGAAAGAATTGGGGCATGAAATATTTCTGAACTGAATGACATTATTTGAACAATGTATGATATGAATAATGATCATTTACATAATGATTAATGTATCATACTGTATCATTATATAGACACAATATGACAAGATGTATGTCAATATATGTAGAATGTAGGTGTAGATGGCTGCGAAATGGCTGAGGCGAAGCACCGTCAAGATATTGAGGCGGAAGCCAAAGATGGAGCGGTTGGATATTTGGTCACTTGACATCGCTTGACATCGCTTGACATCACTTGACTTGTTTGACTTGTTTGTGTCACGAGTCATCAAATGCACATTGGTATCAAACACTCACCTTACACCTCATTTTCTTGAATAGCTCCACTTAGCTGCAGTTTGGAGTTTGCGCTTTAACTAGAATTCAGTCTGTCTCCGTCACACTCGATTTCACCACGACGAAATTCAGAAACTTGGCCTTGTCAACGTGTCACCTGTTTTGGAAGCGGCCAGACATTTCATTCTCTTGAGATATCTTGAGATTCCAGAGTGAGTGTGGCAGAGCCATTCAAACTTGAAGCCGCTTGCCGGTTTGGAAAGAGCTGATGGATATGGAAGTTGCAGCCGAGGCAAAGCACGGCATTGAGCAGCTCCTCTCAGATTCCTTGAAGACCATGTTGCTCAGATTTGCTCAGACAGTGGTACTCCCCAGGATTGGAGTGTGGAGACGCGTGAAGACGCTTGAAGACCGCCTTCAGAGATGTGCACGAATCGTATATTAAACATATTCAAAACTAACTTAACCTATATCAAAGAATGTTAAAGGCAGGTTTCACTAAAGACCTTCCACAAATTTCGTCCACCACTGGAGCTCAGGCTCAGAATGAAGCCAGAAGATCCCATTGAGTTCATGTGCAAGCACTGCGGCAATCTGCGGCCATTGCTTGGGTTTAAAAAATCCGGTTCATCGATACTTAGAATATCTTAGAATGAACAAGAGTTGAGAATGTTGAGAGTAATTAAGCATATAATTGGCTTGGCTTTTGGCGAGGGAATCCTATCCTCTATTTCAGCGATCTTACGAGTTAACTCCACAGTAATGGACACCTTTGTCGTTATCCAACAGACCGGATGTTCTGAAAGTACTCGGAAGGTTTGCAAGGCAATGCACTAATTGCACATTATTCTTGATCTTAAGCTCATTAAGCGCTTTCAACAAAAGCAAGGATCTGTTCGAAAAGACCATGGCAAACAGATGAATATCACATGAATATCACATGCATATCATGGAAAATCATGGGGACCTGAGGTACCTGAAGGCCGAGGGCAAAACCCGCGAAGCTGAACCGAAGCCGGCAGCCCCGGCAGCCCCGGCAGCTGAGCCATGCACAGCGCCCTTTGCATTGCGTCCGTCAGTGGGGACTTGGCATCTGAGCTGCGCCAACCGGATACCAACCGGATACCCTCCAAATTTTGGAAGTTGGAATGTTATGGAATGTTGGATAATCGGACTCGGCGTCTACTTGGGACTTGTCGGATGAAAGAGACAGAGACCATCAACACCCATCGACCAATATGATCCGTTTGAACTTCGATCCCCGGCACCGGTTTGTTGGCACCGGCACCGCCATTTGAGGTACATGCCATTGAAAACACCCATCACTGTCCCAGCTGCCCCAGCTGCCCCAGCCGCCCCCGCCGCCGAACCAGCTGCTGCTGCGACACCGGTGGCTGCAGCGGCACCGACTCCTGCGGCTGCAGTGGCGCCGCTTCCGGGTCCACCCTTTGCTTTGCGTCCATCGGTGGGAACCTGGTACACACCACTGCAGGCATCAGATGGGTTTCGCTTTTGAGAGTTCAACGTTGCGGATTTCGATCTTTGAATTATCTTGAATTGTCTTCTCCGGGTGGAGCACAAATTAGGATGTGAAGATTGTAAAGTGATTGATGAAGATTGGAACGTGAAGGTGTGGCTGCCAGGACGAATCCGATGGCCTGTGGAAAGCTTCAAAGGTGATGAGCATCAAAGGCTTGGGGCATTCCGTGGCGGAGTGCTGCGAGGCAGAGCGCGTGCTGACCAAGGCGCTCTTTGAGACACTTGGTCACCACTTGGTCTCACTTGGACTTGGAAAATCATGAACAATCCGATCCGGATGGGTCAAAACCCGGCAAAACCTACGATTTTCCTCAATATTTCATATTTGGATAGGGGATGCGCCTATTTTGGCGTTCAAATGATTTCAAATATGCGTCCACAAGGATACAGCGGTTTTCACCCAGGGCTTTTACAGGCTACACTGCAGTCGTGGAATACTAAAAGCTCATTCGGACTTGTCTTCTTGTATGGCACGCATTGAACCTTCATGTAAAATGATCATAAATGATGAAAATGACAAAGCAACTCCATTCAATTTGCTGCCGAAAGGCAGCAAAGACTAAGTTTCCAACTTTGATGTTTGAGTTTGGCACCAAGGTGAACCATTCAGAATCCAAACCTTGCTGTGGCATGGTGACAGTGTCAAAATCAGCTAAGGATGGATGGCGAACTGACACTCAGCTGATGGCGACCGGAGAGTCAACCGGATTTGAGGAGTTCTTTTGAACAGCGAATGGCACTCAAACGGGCCTCAAGAAACGATAGTGATGGGCAACACACATTCCTTCTACAAAGTTGAAGTGATCAAAGTTTTCACCAGGCGATCATACAGCGGGTGAATCTGGATGTACTTTCACGACAGTGTTACGACACCCGTTCCTATGACACCTTGTTATCCTTGTTCGACACCAGCTGCCCAGCTGCCCAGCTGCCCAGGAAAGGTGAATATTTCTCCTTCTCTTCTCATCCGTTGAAACCTTCAGGTTTGAGCTCTGAGGAGCTCCGAAACGAAATCTCCGAAACACTGAACTCTTTCCGCCGGTGATGTATTTGGTGATGTCCAGGATCTTGATGACAGCATTGCGAATATTCTGGTCTAGAATCCAGAATAATCCAGAATAATCCAGAAACTAAGAACCACAATCAAGAGGAACCAGTTCCAATCAACTTTTTTTTCGCGATTCTGGTGATTCTTGTAATGGTTGAAGCTTCCACTCTTCAACACAACATACAACGCTCTTCAGGAGACAGAGATGCTGAAGTCAAATAAGTTGCTGTTCTCCACCAGTGAGTCCCAAGGACGAGGCAAACGTGTCGCATTGGCTCGTGACGATCTGGTTTCAAGATTTCTAGAAAGCACGATACGACATTTAAGACATGATATGACATGATATGACATGATAAAGCAAACATAAGAAAGAGTCCTGAAGGATTTCTATGCGGCTGCAGCCTATGTTTGAAACCTTCTCGCGAGCTTACATCCCAAGATCTGTGCCCAACTCACCCTCGACACTGACTTTCATCGCATTTCCCGGCGCAGCCCTGGTTTAGCCCCCGGACAAACCTGGACCGAAGCAGACAGGTGTTTACTTGACTGAGAATGGTGACATTGCGCTCTTGCTCAATGCAGACAAGCCTCCCGGCTACCACTTCAGTGTGGTTATCTTGGAATTCCCTCTGTGAACATCAGTATTATTGCTTGAGCATTTGATGTGGGACATGTTGATACGCTTTTCCTTTTGCTAAACTCTTGCTGTTGCTTGTAGACGAGCCCGCAGTTCTAGCAACATCCCATGAACATTTCGTCGACACATGAAGGCATTTGCAGATCTTGGTGAAGAAATCCGCCAAAGCAGCAGCGCAAGAGATTGACACGGTGGTATCTTGTCACACTGATCATCAGGATGCAGTAAAAATTGGTTCACTACTTTTCTCTGTAGCTCACGACCAAAGCCTATCATCCAATCAGATTCAATCAGATTCAATCAGATTCAATCAGATTCAGTCAGATTCAATCAGATTCAGTCAGATTCAATCAGATTCAATCAGATTCAGTCAGATTCAATCAGATTCAATCAGATTCAATCAGATTCAATCAGATTCAATCAGATTCAATCAGATTCAATCAGATTCAGTCAGATTCAATCAGATTCAATCAGATTCAGTCAGATTCAATCAGATTCAATCAGATTCAGTCAGATTCAATCAGATTCAATCAGATTCAATCAGATTCAATCAGATTCAATCAGATTCAGTCAGATTCAATCAGATTCAATCAGATTCAGTCAGATTCAATCAGATTCAATCAGATTCAGTCAGATTCAATCAGATTCAATCAGATTCAATCAGATTCAATCAGATTCAATCAGATTCAGTCAGATTCAATCAGATTCAATCAGATTCAATCAGATTCAATCAGATTCAGTCAGATTCAATCAGATTCAATCAGATTCAATCAGATTCAATCAGATTCAATCAGATTCATCAGATTCAATCAGATTCAATCAGATTCAATCAGATTCAATCAGATTCAATCAGATTCAGTCAGATTCAATCAGATTTCAGAATCAGATTCAATCAGATTCAATCAGATTCAATCAGATTCAATCAGATTCAATCAGATTCAATCAGATTCAATCAGATTCAATCAGATTCAATCAGATTCAATCAGATTCAGTCAGATTCAATCAGATTCAATCAGATTCAGTCAGATTCAATCAGATTCAATCAGATTCAATCAGATTCAATCAGATTCAATCAGATTCAATCAGATTCAATCAGATTCAATCAGATTCAATCAGATTCAATCAGATTCAATCAGATTCAATCAGATTCAATCAGATTCAGTCAGATTCAATCAGATTCAATCAGATTCAGTCAGATTCAATCAGATTCAATCAGATTCATCAGATTCAATCAGATTCAATCAGATTCAGTCAGATTCAATCAGATTCAATCAGATTCATCAGATTCAATCAGATTCAATCAGATTCATCAGATTCAATCAGATTCAATCAGATTCAGTCAGATTCAATCAGATTCAATCAGATTCAATCAGATTCAATCAGATTCAATCAGATTCAATCAGATTCAATCAGATTCAATCAGATTCAGTCAGATTCAGTCAGATTCAATCAGATTCAATCAGATTCAATCAGATTCAATCAGATTCAATCAGATTCAATCAGATTCAATCAGATTCAATCAGATTCAATCAGATTCAGTCAGATTCAATCAGATTCAATCAGATTCAATCAGATTCAATCAGATTCAGTCAGATTCAATCAGATTCAATCAGATTCAATCAGATTCAATCAGATTCAATCAGATTCAATCAGATTCAGTCAGATTCAATCAGATTCAATCAGATTCAGTCAGATTCAATCAGATTCAATCAGATTCAATCAGATTCAATCAGATTCAATCAGATTCAGTCAGATTCAGTCAGATTCAATCAGATTCAATCAGATTCAGTCAGATTCAATCAGATTCAATCAGATTCAGTCAGATTCAATCAGATTCAATCAGATTCAGTCAGATTCAATCAGATTCAATCAGATTCAATCAGATTCAATCAGATTCAATCAGATTCAATCAGATTCAATCAGATTCAATCAGATTCAATCAGATTCAGTCAGATTCAATCAGAATCAGATTCAATCAGATTCAATCAGATTCAATCAGATTCAATCAGATTCAATCAGATTCAATCAGATTCAATCAGATTCAATCAGATTCAATCAGATTCAGTCAGATTCAATCAGATTCAATCAGATTCAGTCAGATTCAATCAGATTCAATCAGATTCAATCAGATTCAATCAGATTCAATCAGATTCAGTCAGATTCAATCAGATTCAATCAGATTCAGTCAGATTCAATCAGATTCAATCAGATTCAGTCAGATTCAATCAGATTCAATCAGATTCAATCAGATTCAATCAGATTCAATCAGATTCAATCAGATTCAGTCAGATTCAATCAGATTCAATCAGATTCAATCAGATTCAATCAGATTCAATCAGATTCAATCAGATTCAATCAGATTCAATCAGATTCAATCAGATTCAATCAGATTCAGTCAGATTCAATCAGATTCAATCAGATTCAATCAGATTCAATCAGATTCAATCAGATTCAATCAGATTCAATCAGATTCAATCAGATTCAATCAGATTCAATCAGATTCAATCAGATTCAGTCAGATTCAATCAGATTCAATCAGATTCAATCAGATTCAATCAGATTCAATCAGATTCAATCAGATTCAATCAGATTCAATCAGATTCAGTCAGATTCAATCAGATTCAATCAGATTCAATCAGATTCAATCAGATTCAATCAGATTCAGTCAGATTCAATCAGATTCAATCAGATTCAATCAGATTCAATCAGATTCAATCAGATTCAATCAGATTCAATCAGATTCAATCAGATTCAATCAGATTCAATCAGATTCAATCAGATTCAATCAGATTCAATCAGATTCAATCAGATTCAATCAGATTCAATCAGATTCAGTCAGATTCAATCAGATTCAATCAGATTCAATCAGATTCAATCAGATTCAATCAGATTCAATCAGATTCAATCAGATTCAATCAGATTCAATCAGATTCAATCAGATTCAATCAGATTCAATCAGATTCAATCAGATTCAATGATGAGATGATTTAGACATATTTAGACTATTTTAGACATGATTCACATGATTGGAGTGCATTCTGCCTGCTGTGAGGTCTCTGCACTCCAGGGCGGCTTAAGCCAAGACGGTTATGTTCTGAGTCCATAGGGCACCTGTCGCCGTTGGCCTTGGACGGGTTAAACATGTTCGGAACATGTTAAGACCTGGGCGTTACTTGATTCTGAGCTGTGATAGCAGTGCTATGCAGTGCCGTGCTATGCAGTGCTATGCAGTGCTAATCAAATTTATCCAGGAATTGTTAGCAAAACTCAGAAAAACTCGTATCATCTCGTATCAAAATTGAGAAATCTCTGACCCAGTCCATCCAGAGGCCCGTTGACAAAGTTGGTCGAGGCCAAGGGGTAGCTTTTCAGGAGCCAAGGTGGCTGCACTTTCTGTTCCTTGGCGTGTCGAGCTAGTGTGACGCGTGATCGCGCGTCCTCCCGGGGAGGTTGATCTGCTTCGTCATCGTTTAGTGACGATGAGTGTATAGAGTGTATATAGCCATATATACATATATACATAAATAATATATGTGCATATAAGCATATATTATATGCTCCATTACTATACATGTATAAGTTACGTGAGCAAAAAGGATAGATGTTCATGATCAAATCTCTGATTTTCTTTCAGATCCACTGCCCCCCAAATTTAATCTACGTTTGCAGCCGGGCAATGGACACGTTTCACCCTTTTAGCACACCGAAACCTTGCCCGCGTCGGAGCCGCGGTGCTTGAGTGGTGGCGTTACGCCCGTTATGCGTTTCTTCAGTGTGCCAATGCTCGGAGGCAGACGATGGAAAAAATGTCGCATGCTGCAGGAGTGCCAAACTGTACCAGTCAAGTTGTGAAATTGTCCAATCCCATTCAGCTTTGTCATTCGGCTAAGAACTAGTTGTAAGTGGGGATGATGGGGATAGTATTTATATGTATTGATCATCTGTTGATTGCAGTCACTATCACCAATCCCAATTCACTGTTTGTGAACTTGTTGCGTCGAAATTCGTTTGACAACTGCATGCTGTAAAGCTGTTTGATTTGTTCGCAGCTCAGGCTGCAAAGTTGGCAAAAGGCATTCTCCCTGGCGCCCTGGTGTCGGAGACAGTCCAGGAAAATGCTGCACTTTGGAGATGCCAATCATGTCTGTGCTGTTTTGTTTTCACCGGACTTATGTCACTTATGTCCTCAAACTTGTGGTCAATCATTGACATTCTTAGCTTTTCTCATTCTGTCCCAGTCGAACCTCTCTCCGTTAAGCATTGCGCTTGAGGCCCTTGATTTAGGATCCCGACCCAGATGGCATGGCGAAATGAGAAATGCTCGTAGAATGGCTGCAGAATATGCAGAATGTGAAGCATGGCCATCAGCTCCTTCTGAGGAGGAACTCACAGAGAGGATCTGGCGAGAGACACGAATGACCCTTGGCCGTAACAAGTCTTGACTGTGGTACTCTGCGGTAGGGCTTCTCTCAGATCGGTTTTGTTCACAATCGCAGGAGCTTCTCTCAGACCAACCGTGAATCGACAGATATAAAAACACGCAACTTATCATTTTTTGTCATTTGTACAGATTTTTTCTTAACTCTCTCAGAGTCTCAGTCAGTCTGGTAAACTGAGTCTCCATGTTGATGCTGTGGCGCCGTTGATGTACTTGGCAAGAGCTTTGGCCACACTCTCAGCAGTAGAAATGAGCAGTTCGGCGCACAAAGTTAGTGTGTCTAAGACTGAGTTTCGATATGTTTCGATACCTTTCAACTCTTTCCATCTTTTCATCAACACAGGAAAAGGATGAACAAGTAGTATTCCCAGATATGTCACATGTCTTAAAATGTACTTTCTCCCATTCACCCCATCTTTTATGCAGATTAGATACAAATAGTGCAGTGATAATTAGTGACTGAGGTTGTGGACCACAGCTGGTGGCAAGTTGAGTTGGCCATCAAGGCCCCAATGGATCTGTTTCACTGACGCAAGCATCAAGACTTAAAACATCTTGGATCTGAACCGAACATGTATTGGGATATGAATATATGATAGATACTATATTGTTGTATGATAGAATAATCTATCATCTATATATTAAATATCATATCACTATATATATATATATTATGTATGTCAGGATCTTCCTTAGTATATGTCAGGATCCGAATATGCAACATTCTGCAGTAAAAGTCATTCGAAGGCAATGCAGGATCCAGGTCATTCGGCTCACGAGGTGATCACGTCGAAATTGGGATTGCGAGAGAAGTGACTCACTGAGATCCGTCGAACTCCGTCGAACTCCGTCGAACTCCGTCGAACTCCGTGGAACTCCGTCGAACTCCGCAGATCCGCTTCCGCCGACCATGCAGACATAGAGGGCGAACTGCAGAATTCAAAAATCAGAGCCTTGAGAATCCTTGAGAAGCTTCAAACATCCCGGTGAAGAGATGTGAAGATGTTTGATTCCACGAAATGTGAAAGTGTCAGAAAGTGTGAGCTCGTGTGGACGAAATAAGGCAAGAGATAGCAGCAAATGCCATGTGGGTGGTCTCAGGAGCTGCCAGTTGACGCGCAAAGCGCTTCCAATCCATCCCATCATCTTTCATCGTGGACAGATTACAGACACGACAGACTCATGACAGACTCATTCTGGACATTTCTGGACATTTCTGGACACGAATCGTGACGACTGACGACTTGTGAAACCTTGTGACGTGGCCATCGTGGCTTCGAGGTGCCAAGATCAATACGAGAACTTCATCCAGGCTCGGCAGAGCTTTGCTGTGCAGCTTTGCCTCCGCCTTGGCGTCTGCGTGTTCGTCATTGTTCGTCCTATTCTCCGTTTATTGCATGTTTTCAAAATGTTTTCTGTATGTCTCCAGCTTTCTGGGCGAATGGATTTTTCAAGTCTCCCGCTCTATCACTGTCACATGTGTGCCTTTCCGAGAACTGTCTCAACTGTTTCAACCATAAATTTCAACTGGTTCAGCTGTTTTAACCTGGCACCCACTGAACTACTTGCTCGTATTCTTTGAATGCATTTGGATCCCCTGAAATATGGGTTTCAGATGGTTTTAAAAGGTGATTCCCCAAGTTATCCCAAGTTGCATTTTGATCAGCAAGACATTCCTGGAGTCGCTTCCCCTGGAGGATATGCAGCAGGGTCTTGCATCGACGCAAATGCAACTGATGCGATTCGACAGCTCCTTGGTAAAGAAGCTCGATTTTACAGGACTGTATAATCGTATAGTAATGTATAGTATAGAAGAGCGGAGACGCTTGCACCTTGGAGGAGGAAGTGAACACAAGCTTCAAAGATGGTCAACCGGTCAACCAGGTTCAACCTGTCTCCATTTGTCTCCGGAATCACCTGAGGCTATGCCAAGAGCAGTGCGTATCAGCGGATTTGTCTCATGCTTGACAAAATGAAAGATTCCCCCGAGGGTCTCTACACTGAACAGGAGATGAGTCTGCAAATGTCTGGAATTCATTGGATCACTTTGTTGTGTCAGGTGATTGTGAGGGCCTTTGGGGTCGTCCGCTGCGGATGGTTTTGCAATGATGCACTTTGAATCTGGTTCGAATTCAAAGGCTGTTAAGCTTTTTTGGAAAAAATATGTTGAACATGTTGAGCTAAACATCGCCTGGCAAAGATACTAGTCTTACACAAGTAGCATCGATGGCCATCAAATCATATCATCGATGTTTGGTCGAAAGCACAGCGAGGAGGTGATCCTACGCTCTCTTCGCGATGCGGTGTCTTGGTGTGTACACTTTTGCGTAGCAAACCTGTATAGACTGTACATCGAACATGATGAAACATGATTCTGAGGAGAACAACCTTCAAGCTGTGCGACGCACAGTGGAAGATTCAAATAGGCAGGGTGTGACTACGGCTATCTACGGCTGTAGCTCGGGCAAATCAGATGTCGTAGTTTCAAATTCAAACCATTCGACAGAGGCTACAGACAGAGATTCTACAGAGATTCGACCACTGATTCAGCATGGGGAAATCCGCTTCGAGCTCTCGAGCACCGGTACCAGAGAGATAACCTGGGCCGGACGGCGCAGGTTGCAATATGAAGCCCGCGTAGCGGAAACCGAAACTTGTCACCGGATTCGGACGCGGCGATCTCACAGCCATATTTGGACATTTTGGACATAGGGATTTTTGGGGTTTGACATGGTTCGAGTAGACATGATGGGATGGATCGCGATGGGGCATTTGGATGCGAGCTGCAGCAACTTTTTTTCAGCAATTGAGTTTGTGTGCGAATTGTTCATGCTACAGGGTCGCAACGAGATGCGCCAGTATTCAGAATGACAACAGCGCGAAGCGCACAGGTTGTTTTCTAAAACATCTAAAACATTGCAACGCCAAGCGAAGCGCTTGTTTCACCAATTCCCTGTCAACCTTGTCAAAGCTCTTCTGCAAGTACTTCACAGCCTTCACAGCCTTCCCAGCCTTCACAGCACACACACACACACATACACACATGAAATGTATTGACATTGAAATGTGTTCCTCTTATCGTTTCGACTTTCAGCAAGGACCAAATGCAGTGGTCTGTAGACCTTCCAGGGACTGGGGAGCTGAGATGGGAAGTTTTGCTCTCGACATTTGGAAGTTCCAGTTGTAGTGCTTCCAGCGATTCCTGTGATGACAGTTCTGGCACCCATGGCATCCCATGGCTGAAGCTCCCCTGACAGGAGGAGAGCAAAAGTTGAGAACTTTTTCGAGGAGAAACCCTCCATGACAATCATGACACCGTGAGACCCTTCTTGACATGCAACCAGACATGCATGATTCGGTATGATGCTCAAATTCAGCTAGACCAATTTCTCTGGTCAACGACCGAATGCCACCAAAATGCGAGGTTTGTTGAGAGCAGTCTACATTATTTTGTAATTTTTATTTTCTATATGGCCCATGACTTTTGGCTGCGCAGAACATGACATCGTTGAAAGACAAGAAGTCTGCCAAGTTGGAGCAGGACTTTCAGGTGCCACGTTGGTGTAACACTTTGCTTTGAGCCATTTGAGCCGTGCCCAACGCTACCCTGGAATTGCCCATTTAGGTGTGCTATTAGATGCATGCAAAAGGGACATGGGCGTAATTTCAGTATATTCAACAGCCTTCAGCATTCCGCCGTCCATCTGGCTTTTGGCCTACAGGCCCAAAGCAGGTTGTGTAAAGCTGGTTGGTGTAAAGGGTTGGTTTGTCGAAAAAGTGGTGCGTGTAGAAGCTAGTATGTAAA